ATCAGTGCTTTAGGATGGAGCAGGTGGCGTTAGCAATTAAATGAGCATCTAGTGCAGTTTATTTCATAAACTGGTGTGTGATGTAATGCATTGGCCTGCCAGGTGTGTGTTTGTGTGTGTTCATAGAATTGATGAATAAAATGAGTGAATGGAAGGCAAATCGAAGAATGAAGATGATGTACATCCCAAGTAACATACTTAAGCTATGCTCTAAGCATAAGTACTTCTCAAATAAAGGGAAAGTATACTTTTGGTTGTGCAGTATTATAGGACAGTATCAATGTTATATCAGCAATATTACTAATATTTTAGTATCATTGAGATTTTATTCATATTTTGAATGTTTTTTTTTGTGTTTTAAGTTTTGTGAAAATTTTAGTGATTTGTGTGTTTTTGTCATTTTTATTATTTTAAAAAAATGTCTACTTTTTTTAAAATTCATTTCTATTTTGGTTTACTTATGTTAGTGCATAGATAAATTAAATGTGGCCCTGGAGCACAAAACCAGTCTTAAGTCGCTTGGGTATATTTGTAGCAATAGCCAAAAATACATTGTATGGGTCAAAATTATTGATTTTTATTTTATGCCAAAAATCATTAGGATATTAAGTAAAGATCACGTTCCATGAAGATATTTTGTAAATTTCCTACTGTAAATATATCAAAACTTAATTTTTGATTAGTAATATGCTTTGCTAAGAACTTCATATGGACAATTTTAAAGGCGATTTTCTCAATATTTAGATTTTTCTGCACCATCAGATTCCAGATTTTCAAATAGTTGTATCTTGGCCAAATATTGTCCTATCCTAACAAACTATACATCAATGGAAAGCTTATTTATTCAGCTTTCAGATGATGTATACATCTCAATTTCGAAAAATTTACCCTTATGACTAGTTTTGTGGTCCAGGATCACAAATGACAATGTTGGCTGGGCAAAAATATAATAAGTTTATTTCATACTGACATAAAATATATATATATATATTTTTAAATACTTAAACTTTTTTTATGGTCTTTTTCTGGTGTTATATGTGTGTGTGTAGCTCTAATGTTAGAACTTGTGATATTGGCTAATACTGGCTGTATACTGTCATGTATATTAGGTTCATACATTTAAAAACTGCTGTTCATAACACAATCCCAAACACAAACAGGCGTCTGCTGCACTAGATTTGTGAATGGTGCACGACTGTGTCAGGCTGCTGTTGAATAATGCAACAGGAACACGGCGGCCATAGTAAAACCCCTGAGCGATGATCATTAATCAGTCAGTACATGTACACGCTCAAAAACAGCTCACAGATCGCTCCATACCCTTGAACAGCACACTACAGACCACAGCACCCTGCAGAATAACAGAGAGCTGTTGTTGAACTGTAGTGTTCTTGTTGCAAGATAGTACACTAGCTTCATATGCAGGTCATAAGAACATTCAGTATGTTTAAGTTTGATTTGATATTTGCTGTGATTTGATATTTGAGAAGAATTTGATGAGAAATGTTTGAGGTTATATTGAGATTTAGCTCAGATTAATCAATTTAAGAATTTGACGAGAAATGTTTGCTTAGATTATGTGATTTGAGAAGAACTAGATACACTTTTGAGTTCATGTTGAGACTTTGCTCAGACTGTTTGTTTTCAAAAGATTTTGATTAGGGATGCACGATATATCGGCCACCATATCGGTATCGGCCGATAAATGCAAATTTTTTCTGTTATCGGTATCGGCCTGATAAGAAAATTTGGCCGATATCTTAAAGCCGATAAATAATGCATTATTTCCTTCAGAGACACTTCAGATGCGCGCTGTTCGTTTGCAGCCTATATTTGTTTTCAAAATAATTTGATGTGAAATTTGGTACTTTTTGTATTGGGCTTTTGCAGACATTAAAGAATGGACATGTTGAGATCTCTTTTTCAACTCTAGGAAACATGTCATGTACTGTTTTGTAGGAGAAGCAATTAGAAATAAAAGAAATAAAAGATTTCTCATTTATGATACTTTTTTGGAGAATGGAAGCTCTTGTTGTGGCAGAAGGTGTGTGTAATACACGTTTGTGGATTGGATTGTTAAAGGTGGGGTAAGTGATTTCTGGTAGCCAATGTTGACGTTTGAAATCACCAAAACAAACACGCCCCTACCCCAAAAGTGTCTCGCCCCTATTTTTATAGCTCCACCCCACACATACGTACGCAACCCAGGCAACAATTAGTTCTGTGAAACAAAGCAAAACCAATGTTACACCGTGACTACACCAGACGCGAGTGTCTCGCGCGACAAAATACTATGGAACCCATTATAATCAGTGATGCTGTCTACACCATAGATATATATACATATCTATGGTCTACACTATGGTCTACACTTCCGCTCCTTGAGTGCTCTCCAGTGCTGGAAAGCTGATCCGATATTTACACAGGTCCTACTTCTTGCCTTAAGCCTTCTTTTGTTCCGCAGACATTTTCCTCTTTTGTTTTTTATACGCCATCTCTATCATTCTGTCGTCGCTTGTTTCGGCTAATTTCCGTCCTTTGCACTGAATGCTCTCTCCTCCACATCATGAGTAGACACGCCCCTTATTGCTGATTGGCTACAAGTTTGTTTTGCTATTCAGCCCGAATCAGTTTTCTAAAGCGTTTTTGAAAAATCGCTTACCCCACCTTTAATTGTTAGACCACAGATGTTCCCTTGTTAGTGTAGTGTAATGTGTTAGTGTGCTGTGAAGTCGTATGGACAGAAATCACAAACACACAGATAGGGGAGCAGTGGATGTATTGTATCTTTTCAAGGCTCTAAACTTTACCTTTCAATAAAGACAGTTTTTCCTCCAGCATCTCTCCGGGCTTCCCATGAGCCAAAGCCTCTTATTCCCTCTGAAGATGAAACTCATATGCCGGGGACACTGGTGTCATTTGTCTTTTCCGACACATACAGCCGGCACTGTTGTAACCACATTAGCGGCAGGTTATTTTTGTAAAAACAGCACGTGTTTTAAAATGAGATGTTGCTTGTTTTTAAAAGAAATTGCAGTGAACAGTTAGATGTTGCTGCTTTGTCTGGAGTCAGATGGCACGTTTACATTTGTTACAGGGTTTTGATGCTGTTTTTGAAAGATTGAATATTGTTAATAGCTTGAAGTCTATGTAATGACTTTAATGCCAATGTGAAAGCTTGTTTACAAACCATTTTTTATCATGTAATCCAAAGTATACTAAGAAAAAATGTATGATGGGTCTTGATTTGTTCATCTGGATTTGGATATTGAAATTGAAAATTTGTGGTTTTCTTAAAAGTGGATAAAAAAAATTGAAGACAAACTTTTTTTTTTAATACTAGAAATTTTGGATCAATCATTCATTTATGCACAATAAGACTAGAAATGTATAGGTCAGTTACAATACAAGATTGACCCATGCCTTATTGCTCAAAGTTGAAGACCCAACTCTATGCATGTTCTGCACGACCCCCCTTTCCATGAAACATGTTTTATTTTACTGTTCTGGTTTTAATGCAAGTAGAAAACTTTTTTTTATGAAGTACTCTCACTCAAGGACTTGTTTAGTAAGATTTTACCAGAAAATATTTTAGATTTTGTTAATTAAAAAAAAATCTTGTATAACTGCTTGGTTTTTAGTTTGTGTTTATGTAAGTCTTGTTTTATTCCAACTAATTTTTTGCCATGAAGACAGCCTTAGATGGTGACATGGCAATAAAAATAAATAACTACTACTGTGGGTCAGTTTTGATATTCAGGTTAACAGGGTTATTAAAATTAAAACAATAACACATTTGTTGACCCTAATCTTAAAAGAGCTGGTTTTAGAACCATCTCAAGAAAGCTGGTTTTAGTTGAGCTTGAAATAACTCAAACTGAAATAAAAATGATTAAATAATAAATCGTCCAATCAATGACACTGGTTTAGGAATGTACAGTGTGAAACGTCAGCATATGAATAACCAGGATTAATTGTTAAAAGGATAGTTCACCCAAAAATAAAATCTTTGTCATTTACTCATCTTCATGTTCTTCCAAACCTGTGTGGACACAAAAGAAAGAAGATATTTTGAAGAATGTTTGGAATCAAATTTTTGCTGGTAGCCTTTGACTTCCATAGTGTTTTTTCCTACTATGGTAGTCAATGGCTACCAGCAACTGTTCCTCCAAAAAATTACAATTCTGTCATTAATTACTCACTCTCATTTCGTTCTAAGCCATAAGACCTTTGTTCATCTTTGGAACACAAATTAAGATATTTTTGATGAAATCCGAGAGCTTTCTGACCCTCCATAACAACACAACCACCACATTCAAGGCACAGAAAAGTAGTATTAAAATAGTCTGTAGTTCAACCTTAATTTTATGAAGCTACGAGGATATGACAGCAGCACCACACACATACGTGTTACTCTCGCGAACGTGCAGCGGAGACTGACACAGAAGAGAATAAATTGTTGAATAAAGTCATTGTTTTTGTTTTCTTTGCACACAAAAAGTATTCTTGTAGCTGCATAAAATTGCGCTTGAACCACTGATGTCACATGGACTATTTTAACCATGTCCTTACTACCTTTCTGTGCCTTGATCATGGTAGGACCCTTGCTGTCTATGGAAGATCAGAAAGCTCTCGGATTTCATCAAAAATATCTATATATAAAATATCTGTATCTTATATATATATAAAGATAAATGAAAGTCTTATGGATTTGGAACAAAATAAGAGTGAGTAATTAATAACAGAATTTTCATTTTAGGGTGAACTACCCCTTTAAGGGTATGAGAATCAATTGACAATGTTTATTTTTGGGTGAAGTACATTATGAGGAGTTAGAAATGTAAAAAAAGAAACCAGGATTTTGAATGACCCACGATTAAACATTTCAAGTGTTAAAAGCCCTAAGGTCGATTTTATGTGTCGTCATGTTTCAAAATGTGTCTGCAATGAAGTATTTATCAGTGTTCATGGCTTTACTATATATTTTTTCTGTCTGACAGGAAAAGAAGTCCATCAGCAACCAGGGATCCAAACCAAAAATACGACCAAAGGGAGGAGAAGGGGGAGCGTTCGCAGTATGCCCCAGGGGAGGGCGGCATGCCACGATCGCCGTCTGATTACGGGGCCGGAGACCGCCAGTGGCGCGAAGGCTACGGCCGCTCCTATGAGGATGCGGAGGTAGCGCGGAGTGCGTACCGCGCTCAACGGGGCGGCTGGCACTCTCAGGAAGAGTATCCACCCGAACCCGGATTCCTGCCTGATGGCCCGCCCCTCAGCGAGCACGAGCTCCAGCGGCAGCGGCAGGAGGAGTACCAGAACCGCTACCGCAGTGACCCGAACCTGGCCCGCTACCCTGTCAAACCCCAACCTTACGAGGAGCAGATGCGCATGCACGCGGAGGTTTCGCGATTCAGGCATGAACGGCGACACAGCGACGTCTCCCTGGCGTACACAGAGATAGAGGAGCCCTTGGGGCCCCTGCGGGGTCCCCCCTACTCACCGGGTCCCGGACACACCCACTGGAGGTCCAACCACAGTCCACCCGGCATGGACTCCATCCACAGGCAGCAGCACCTGGATCCTGTCTCGGCCTTAAGGAAGAGTAAACGAGAAAAGATGGAGAGCATGTTGCGGAACGACTCGCTCAGTTCCGACCAATCAGAGTCCATCAGGCCGCCTCCGCCCAAACCTCACAAGAACAAGAGGGGCGGCAAAATGAGGCAGGTGTCCCTGAGCAGCTCAGAGGAGGAACTGGCCACTACACCGGAGTACACCAGCTGTGAGGACGTGGAGATCGAGAGTGAGTCTGTGAGCGAGAAAGGTAATGCAGCTTTTTTATCATTTATATATGTATGTACACTACCATTCAAAAGTTTGGGGTCGGTAAGGTTTATTAACGTTTTTGAAAGAAGTATTTTATGCTCACAAAGGCTGTATTTATTTGATTAAAAATACAGTAAAACAGTAATGTTGTGATATATTGTTGCAATTTAAAAGATTTTGAAATGAAATTTATTTCTGTGATGGCAAAGGCAAATTTTCAGCAGCAATTACAGCAGCCAGTACTCTAGTTTTCAGTGTCACATGATCCTTCAGAAATTATACAAATATGCTAGAGAAACATGTATTATTATTATCAATGTTGTTGCTGACAGTTGTGTTATCAAATAGTTATGCTGCTTAATATTTTTTGTGGAAACTGATACATTTTTTTAAGGATTTTTTTAATAATTAGAAAGAACAGCATTTATTTTAAATGTAATTTCTTTTGTAACATTATTAGTATTTACTGTCACTTTTCATCTTGAAATTGCTGAATGAAAATATTAATACAAAAATTAAATAAAGTTTATTGACCCCATATGTTTGAACGGTAGTGAATGTTAATGCAGTGAAGCTGTATTGCAAATATTTACATGGACGTAACTAGATTATGAATACTTTTAGAATAATGTTTTTTATGCTGATAACCTCTAACTGATGCTGATGTTTCACAGTATGTGTGTGAATGGCCTGTGTGTGTGTGTATAGTCAGGGAGTGTGAGTAGAGACCTCTGGGTGTTTCTTTCAAGAGGAGTTATCGTGTGTGTTTATTGATTATTTCCTTGGTTTAAAATTACTTGTTAATTATTCTCCAACACTGGTGTTCATTTACAGTATGTATGACTTGTGTGAGTTGCTTCCTACCTCTGTATATTTGTATGTATGTATGTGTGTGTGTGTGTGTGTGTGTGTGTTGTGTTCTCTCGGTTGTCCTCCAATGACAGATATTGCTGGGTCTTGGCTCCCTCAGATCAGATGTAATGGGCTGTGTTACATAACAGAGGGATAGCGTGGAAAAGAGAGAAACCGAGAGAGGAAAGAGAGAAAATGATAGAGAAGCAAGGAAGACAGATGATTCTGTATTCTGATAAATATTAAGATATTAATATTAAAGGTGCACTTATTTATCTGGTTTTAAACCTAAAGAAATGAGTATGGCACATGTTAAGATCACATGACTAGCCGAATACTACTTTTTGTCACTTACATGTCAGTAAACCCCCTATTATTAGATGATCTGTTCTGTGTGCAATAAAATAATCATGGATTATTATATTATATTATATTATATTATATTATATTATATGTAACCAGAAAATATTATTTCAATTGTGAAGTATTTCTACATCATAGGACTATTTGTTGTATTGCATTTAATGAAAAAAAAAGTATTCTGATTTTAATTAAATTACATATTACTATATTATATATACAGTGGGTACGGAAAGTATTCAGACCCCCTTACATTTTTCACTATTTGTTATATTGCAGCCATTTGCTAAAATCATTTAAGTTAATTTTTTTCCTCATTAATGTACACACAGCACCCCATATTGACAGAAAAACACAGAATTGTTGACATTTTTGCAGATTTATTAAAAAAGAAAAACTGAAATATCACATGGTCCTAAATATTCAGACCCTTTGCTCAGTATTTAGTAGAAGCACCCTTTTGATCTAATACAGCCATGAGTCTTTTTGGGAAAGAGGCAACAAGTTTTTCACACCTGGATTTGGGAATCCTCTGCCATTCCTCCTTGCAGAGCCTCTCCAGTTCTGGCAGGTTGGATGGTAAACGTTGGTGGACAGCAATTTTTAGGCAGAACTGGAGAGGCTCTGCAAGGAGGAATGGCAGAGGATCCTCAAATCCAGGTGTGAAAAACTTGTTGCCTCTTTCCCAAAAAGACTCATGGCTGTATTAGATCAAAAGGGTGCTTCTACTAAATACTGAGCAAAGGGTCTGAATACTTAGGACCATGTGATATTTCAGTTTTTCTTTTTTAATAAATCTGCAAAAATGTCAACAATTCTGTGTTTTTCTGTCAATATGGGGTGCTGTGTGTACATTAATGAGGAAAAAAATGAACTTAAATGATTTTAGCAAATGGCTGCAATATAACAAAGAGTGAAAAAATTAAAGGGGTCTGAATATTTTCCGTACCCACTGTATATATATATATATATATATATATATTACAGTTTTTTAATGATTTGAGAATCTTCATTAAGAATAATAGGAAATACAAACAAAAGTAAAAGTAAAATGTCTAGATGCATTGTGGTAGTCCAGAAAATAACATCAAATGCACAAAATCCTATTGGTCCAAAATAGCCTTTACTTTGCATTTGAAAAATACAAGTTCTCTCTCTCTTTTTTATTTATTTATTTTTTTTACTACAAGCATATCAAATGCACTTTAATGTATGTATATGTGCCTTTTGTTTGGCAGTTTTCTTTCATATAGTGATGCAGTTTTTATATCCATTCAACTATTTTTGTTCAGGATTGTGGGCAAAAATACATTGTGACAAGCTTGGTGTAATGTATCCAAAAAGGCAAGATTTGCAAATTAGATTATGAGTTTTGAAGTTGCGTGATTGAGTCTGGATGATGGAGGCGGGATGGAGAACTACAGTGAGAACAACTGCCCGAGCCACTTATACTGTATAAGCATCCCGAGGACAAAACCCAGCGTACAGCTCTACATTATTGATGTTCCGCTTTTCCAGGTTTCACAGCCACACTTATAACCAGAGGAGAGGAGTAACGCTTTCTCTGAAGGTCAGGTGGGTTTTAGAGAGGAGGGGAGAGCACATCAGGCCAGATAAGACTGCCTTTCCCGTCAGCTTTATCGCATATGAGAGCCGAGCGCAGTGGAGATACGGCACAGGGATATAGCGTTTCTGCATGATTACAACCAGATAATCAGTCATTCTACTGGATTTCATCATTGTAATATTAGTTCAGCAGATTTAAATCCACACAGTTATGGTGTGTGTATTTTATTTTTTTTGGTAATGTTTTGTAATGATAAAAAATATAGTATGGAATATAGTATGGAAGTACGCATATTCAGAGGCAGTGAGAGGTGGGTTTGGAAAGTGCCACAATGATGCAACCTTCCAATATTGTATATTAAACTAGGTAGGAAAGAATTTTAACATCGGAAAAAACGCTTCTTTAAATACAGCAAAAACTTGGATATCACTTTTGACATCTGATGTCTTTGGACACTGGAACAGATCAACTTGAACTGGTTGTTCTTCTTTGTTTTGTTAAAGCAGACTAGCAGACAGTTTATATTTCAGTCTTCCTGATTGCAGGATTTGACGTTATTTGTTTTGCCTTCTGCCTGTCTGAGGATCAGAAGTAATGAGGTGAAAGCAGGTTACCATGGCATCCGCTTGGCTGCAGGCCTGTTTTCGGATCGGGATAAGCCACTGTGATTGGCTCTCGGCTCGCTCTGCATTCAGACCTGCACTCAAAGCAGCCGTAAAACCTCATACGATTTATGGCGAATTATGTAATGGACCAAACATTTGGGGTGGAGCTTTCCCCTATGACACATTACACATACATGCATTTGATTTATATCTTCTGCTCTTTAAACTGTCAGCAGAAACACCCTGTATCTCCATGAAATGGGATGGCCTGCATTAAAGCTTTGTAAAAACGTTGACGTGCAGCAGGAGACCCTCGTGTGATTTAGTGTAGTGTTCTTTCTCTTTGTTCTTCTCTCTATCGATCAGCAGATGTGCAGACAGAACAAGAGAAAAGGTTTGAAGGAGTCGGTCAGGGTTACATTCATGTTTCAGTACTCTGTGTTCTTAGCAGACTTTTACTAGGTCTGAGTGGTAATTAAAGAGAGATGTGTGTCAATATATTACCCATCATTATTCCAATTTACAGGGCTCAACAATAAGGACCTAGTTTAAGTTTGTTGTTTTTTTTCTGCTTGTCAACTCTTTAAACGTGTCTTCTAGTTAAAATTATGAAACTGGCTAGCATAGATGAGGTTTTGTTGGAAATCGCAAGATTTGCTGATAATCTTCGTAGCACTGAAACTTACAAACCAGTAAAAATACACATTTTTACAGCATTTATGACATTTTTTTTGACGTAATTATTATATAATAATATATAAAAAGTTATATAATATTATTATAATGTAATATAATAATTATAATAATATAATATAATATAATATCATATAATATAATATAATATAATATGTCCGTCCATCAATCCATCCAGGGTATAGAAAGAATTATAATATTTTATTAATGTTTTTAATTAATTGAAAAAAGTAAATAATTGTATTTATTAGTAAATAATTATAACTATATATTTTATATTATTATTTTTTATATTAATAATATTTGATATGAATGTAAATATTTACATAGTAACCATTGTTAAAATTGTACTTTTAAAATGATAAATGTAAGTACAGCACATTAAAATTCATAATTGTTTGAAATGTGTATATTTTTTGACTAAAAATATTGACATAGTGAATCGGGCAGGCATACAGCGCATGCAAATGAATAACATGCATTCATCGTGAATCCACCATTTTCCATGTCATGCCAAGGGGAACCAATCAGATCGCATCTTCCGTTTTGGAAGGCAATGCTGTCCTGTTCGAAACCTTCATGGAGACAAATATCAATATTCATTTTATGATTGCACGCCATGTCACTTTCTTCGGTCTGTGTCTCTCTCTGTTCTCCTGTCCCCTTCACTCGTAGTAAAAACAGCATCAATAATTAATGATCCAATTAATAGTTTACACTGGGTTTTTATTGAGTTGTCAGAGTGATGGAGAGCCGTGCGCTAGCGGCCTGGGAGCTGTGCTCAGGCCTGAATCAGCACTTCCGCCTTCTGCCGAGAATGTGAGTGCGAGAGAGAAATAGATCCCAGAACGTAGCCGCAAAGACCGCTGCACTTACGCTTTCACTACGAGAGAGAGAGAGAGAGAGAAAGAGAACACAACAGTGCTTCAGGAGAATAGCGTGGTGATAGTGGACATTTGGGACACAAATAAGTGGAGTGTGAATGTGCACTGGAATAATTGTAGCTACTGTTATTGTTTGGTCCCAGTTTAATTGGGCCACTTTTGTCATTGAGATAAATGGAAAAACATGGCCTAATTCACTTGGATTACCTGGTTTCACCCGATAGTTCACCCAACACTGAACATTATGTCATCATTTACTCACCCTTATGTTGTTCCAAACCTGTATGTATTTCTTCCTTCTGTTGAACACAAAAGAAGATATTTTGAAGAATGTTGGTAACCAAACAGTTGCTGGTAGCCATTGACTTCCATAGTATTTTTTCTCTATGCTATGGAAGTCAATGGCTACCAGCAACTGTTTGATTACAAACATTTTTCAAAATAACTTATTTTGTGTTCAACAGAAGAATGAAACTCATACATGTTTGGAACAACATAAGGTGAGTAAATGATGACATCAGGTTCTAAATAGTCAAATGGGATGAAATACTTTTTATATAAACCATTTCAACTTTTATTTTTGTATTTCTAGCAAAAATAACTATATCTGATATGCAGTATTCTGTTATATACAGTTATTTAAATGTACTGATAACATAAGATCATGCAATGGACTATTCCAGACTCTTGCAGTTAATTTTTTCCCTGCATAGTTTTCTCAAGGACCAGAGCGTTCAGTGGGTTTCTGTGACTACTGAAGGAATAGCTTCAGGCTTCTTCCCAAACTTCCGCTTACATTTTTTTACGCATTAACTCTCATAATTCTGCTGTTCACTGGTGTTTTGAATAATGTAATGAGTCCCATATGTAGATCAGTTATGTCTGTTATTCATGCTGCTGCATGATTGGTTGCTCTGTTAATCTGAGGTTTAAGACTTGTCTAGCTGATCCTAGGCTTTAAGCTGAGCGCTAGTATAGACTAGAGCAGACAAGATGTTGTCATATACCTATTGCATGGTATTTGATGATGCCATATTTGCTTAATTAAAACTAATTCTATAAAAAAATGTGTTCATTTAAATAAAGCTAAAATGAAATAGAGATATTAAATATTAGCTATTAAAAACCAAAATTAGAAATGTTGACAATAAGGGAATGTTATATATATATATATATATATATATATAATTATAACTAAAATTACCAACTGAAATAAAATACAATAACTACAAAAATACAATAAACACACTAACTAATAAAATTACAAAAGCACATAACAAAATGACTAAAAATGAAAACAGAAATATAAAGATAAAATATCCAAATAAAAATAAAAACTATAATGTTTTCTAAGCTACTAAAATAGCACTTTTGATAATATATCTGTTGTTACATTTAGATGTATGCTGGATCTAATCAAGCCATATGTGATGTTATATTTGGACAGCGTCATATTTGATCTGATCAAGCACTATGTTATATTTAATGGTTTTATATCTGATTATGATGTCATATCGGTTGACGTCATACTTGATGATGCCATTTCTAGTGACTCCATTTAGTGTTATACCAGATTATGTTATATCTCTCCAAACACAGGAACGCAGTTCGGAGTTTGCACTGACTGCATTTTAAACTGAAGCCAAGTCAGGCAACTCCGACACTGTGTGTGTGTGTGTGTGTGTGTGTGTTTTTCTTCAAGTTAAGTGTATTACAGCCCAGTCCCAAGATCTTTTCAGATCTTATTAGTCAGACGTAGAAGATAGCGACTTCAGCCAAGTTTCTTTGAGCAGTGCAAATGTTTGATCTCTTCTGTAATTTTGTTGCAGTTAGCAGGGGCAAGTCGTTGGTTTTCTTGTTCCTTGCCTGAATTGTCATAGTTAAGTTGCATAAATATGGCTATGAGTGTAACAATAAATGCACAGTAAGCGTGAGTGTAAGTATGAGTGTGACTAACGCGTTTAACATTATGACTGAGTGAATTTAGTGTCTCTTTTCCCCACATGTCTGTTTTCTTTGTCCTCACAAACTACTTCTGCTGTCTGCTGTATGTGTGTGTGCTGCGATTGTGTGTGTGTGTGTGTGTGGCACTCGCAGGAGATTTGGATGGCCACTGGTGGGATCATACAACGTGGCATAGCAGCGATGCTTCCTCGCTTCCTCCTTCCTCCATGTCTTTGGTGAGACATGTGGAGCCTAATGTCTCACCTCTTTCTCTCTCTTTCTGGCTATTCTCTCTCTGTCTCTCTCTCTCTCTCTCTCTCTCTCTCTCTGTCACTCTTTGTCATTTCATGGTTCTTTTGATTTATTTTCACTTCTGCATGTTTTTTTTTCTTTCTGTTTTTATCCCATGTCTGTAGGGGACAGTCAAAGGGGAAAAAGACAAACTTTTGAGCAGTCACACACCTTATCTGAGGGCCAAAAGAAAATGGTGCGCTTTGGGGGCCACTCTTTGGAAGAAGATGCTGAGTGGTGTGAACCCCAGGTTAAAGACTCGGGGGTTGATACATGCAGTAGCACTACCCTAAACGAGGAGCATAGCCATAGTGAGAAGGTACTGGTACCTCTCTAGCCTGCATTGCTTTGATTTCATTTGATCTTGTTTTGTTGGGAACTTTTCATTTACTTCATTTTGTTCCATTTTCACATGGTCTTTGTTTTGATGTCGCTAATATTAGGTCAGATTTTCTTTTTGAATGTTACAGGGATAGTTTACCCAAAAAAAAGAAAATTCTGTGTAGTTCCAAACCTGTTTGACTTTCTTTTTTTCTCCGTGAAGTGCAAAAAGTGATATTTTGAAGATGCCCAAGCTGCTATTTTCCATAACATAAAAGCAGACAGTGACCAAGGACTGTCAAGCGCCGAAAAAGAAAATGATTGTTTGACTTTTATGCAATATTTCAGATCTTCTGAAACTGCACTACCATTCAAAAGTTTGGGGTCACTAAAATTATTATTTTTTTTAATTAATACATTTATTCAACAAGAACTCATTTAATTGATCAAAAGTGACCGTAAAGACTTTTAGAATGTTACAAAAGATTTACATTTCTTTTGAACTTTTTGAACCTTTTTTTATCAAAGAATTCTGAAAAAAAAAAAGTATAATGGTTTCCACAAAAATATTAAGAAGTGTAATGATGCTGAAAATTCAGCTTTGCATCACAGGAATAAATTACATTTTAAAATATATTAAAATGGATAACAACTATTTTAAATTGTAATAATATTTCATAATATTACAAATTTCACTCTATTTTTGATCAAATAAATGCAGTCTTGGTGAGAATAAGAGACGTCTTTCAGAAACACTGAAAAACCGACCCAAACTTTTAAACGGTAGTGTTGATTTCTTTGAGAAACGGACTGAAATTTAAGTTGCATTCACATTTGTCTTCCTTTGAATCTCTTACTTTTAATTTGCAGTTAATAAGTAATCTTGCACATCACGTTTAGGCATGTGACTCACAGGAACTAATGTATGGAAAAGAGCTTCATGGACATTCACCGTTTGTGTTCCATGGAAAAAATTAAGTTATATGGGTTCAGAACATCATGAACAATTTTGATTGAACTATCCCTTTTTCTAAGTTTTAAAAACGTTTTTCCTGAGTTTTCAATTTCTGTTCTTCTGTGGCAGTAGCTGGGGAGCCTCTTGCTTGCTCTGTTATCGTTTGCTTCTTAGCTGCAGCTGCCGTAGTCGACATAGCAGCGAATCACTCCACCATGTGACTGTGTGTTTTGTCATGGCACTTAGAGAATGTGGGTTCCCCCGTCAGCTGCATGCCCTCTCAGCCTCGTGTCTTATTGCCGCGGTAGGGCCCCGGGCCCCAGATCCCCCCACTGGTTGGAATCCTCACTCCGTCCCCCCTTCTCCCACACGCTCACGCTCCAGGAGACTCGCTCCGAAACACACGCTCACTCGCTCAGAGACGACCAGCCAGGATTTGTTTTGCCACAAAGTTTGTTTTTCTTTTTTCCCTTTCCACTGTCATATTCCTTTGCTCTCTATGTTATGGGTCACTGGTTTCCACTGTTTGTGTTCGTGAGCCTTTCCATGCTGTTCTCCTCGCTTTCAGTTTGAACATCATCTGTTTCTTCTTCCATTATTGGGGCTTGTGTTTGCTGGATGTGGTGCTGGGGTTTGGCTGTGGTGATGGAAGCGGGATCTGTCGCCATGGGGGGCTTTTCTCTGCATGTGATGGGTGCATGTCACTCCCTCAAGATCACACAAACTCTACACCACCTAGAGCCAAAAAATTATATTTATGAAGCATTTATGAATGCTCTGGATTCAGTACATGTTAAGCTGTCCTAACCTAACATTCAATTTTTTTTTACATTTGAAAGAAATGTATACTTTTATTCACCAATGATGCATTAAATTGATCAAAAGTGACAGTTAGGACATTTATAATCTTTCAGATTTCTATTTCAAATAAATACTGTTCTTTTGAACTTTTCTGAAGACTCCTGAAAAAACCCGGTTTCCATAAAAACTGAGATATTACACAGCAGTTGTCAACATTGATAATAATAAAAAATGTTTCTTGAGCAAAACAAATATCGGCATATTAGAATGATTTCTGAAGGAACATTGACACTGGAATAATGATGCTGAAAATTCAGCTTTGTCATCATAGGAATAAATACATTTTTATATATACTGATTCAGAAAACATTGTGAAAAATGATTTTTCAAATTTGCAAATAAAGACTAATAAAGTACAATTTATGAGAAAATACCATTTCAGTCCTTTTACTTAAATTTCCACATTTAATTCAGTGCGTTACTTGCCGTTTTTTTTATTTGTTTTTTATTATTTGTGAAATTTGCTATCAATATCTGGGTAAAAATTGTTTCAAATTATTATTATTTTTTTCAGTGCAGTTAATTTCTAATAAATGCATCCTTGGTATGCATAAGAAACAAAAACATAAAAAAATGACCCCAAACTTGTGAAGTATAAATGACTTCTGCATGATGGGAAATGGAAATTTATGGGGTAAGGCATTATATACGGTGGCCGAGAAGTGCAAAGCAAATCACAATTCTGAAAACAAAATAACAAATTACAAACGCAAATGCAAGTCTAAAAAACAAAATAACAATTCAGAAAGCACAACAACAATTCAGAAAACATTATAACAAGTCAGAAAACACAATGACAAATTCGAAAACAAAATAACATGTCAGAAAACACAAAGACAAATCCGAAAACAAATTAACAAGTCAGAAAACACAACAACAAATCAGACAAACCGGAAGAAGTAGGTATAGTTTGAGACAGCGCCATTGGTTTGGGATTACTCACCGCTGACTGGACAAGACATCTGTCAATCAACGTATACAGGGAAGAACCAGCCGAAGAACAGCAGAGTCGTGGTAGAAAGTTCGGAGATGGTATTAAAGTAGCTCAGTTTAAATGTATTGTATGAATTTCCCTTACTCTGGAATAAAAAATACGGGGTGTCTATTTATATTTAGTTAAAAGTGGCCTATTAAAAAGCAGCTCCAGTGTTGCAGATGGATAAGTGTTAGCCCTTGGCTTTTTGACGTGATCGACCCGGGTTCGATCCCACCTTTTGCCAAACTTTTTTTTTCTCCCTTTTCAAATCTCGTATTAGCAATGGATTCTGTTTACACTAAGTGAAAATAGCAGTATTTTTTAGCAATATGTATTTACACTAAGTGCAAATAC